GTAAGAAAATCAGATAAATAGATGAATAAATAGAGACACCACTACAGGGGCCACATGTTGTTAGTATTCCTGCTCTTTTAGATTGGCACTCTAAGGTAGTGTAAACGAAATGTAATGAGTAAAAAGAGAAGAATACTACGAAATATTATCGGTGTCAATATTATCACTGGGTGTTACAGGAAGCCTGTAGTTGTTAACAGAAACCATAATAAACACTCTGATATGCTTACAGCTTCATTATTTAGATTTAACCAAAAGTGCATGTTGTTCGATGGCTTGTGGAGAATTCAGATGGCTGAGATGCAATGTCTGCACTGTTGCTGTGTGTCGAGGGGACACTGTCCAGTATTGTTTCTCACATGAATGTTGAACTGTCTCCAGAGACGAGGCTGACGAGTTTGTGGAGATCGGTGCACTAAATGGGATCTTTGTCCTCGGCCGTAGCATGGGCTTCATTGGTGAGTTCCCTTTAAAATGGAGCCATGATATTCTCTGTGACAACCTTTAAAACGGTCTCTAACCTGAGTTTGTTTTGTTAGGCCATTACCTGGATCAGAAGAGGCTGAAACAGGGTCTGTACCGCCACCCATGGGATGACATCTCCTACGTGCTCCCTGAACACATGTCCATGTAATTCCCTTGTCACAGAATGGAAATCACTTCCAGACGATGATGTCAGGCGGTATTACACATCTCATGTAACTTGTATCTCCTCTCTAGTTATGATAGCAGCTGCCAAGGGGGGTGGAACTGGGCAGGGTTACTTTGGAAAGTGGGAAGTACTGTTTATCTGAGGAACCTGGGTAGAAGTTTTCAATCTAGTTTTTATGGAGGAAAAAGGGGAAGTATATTTCTAGGCTCAGTTTTTGAGAACTAATTTAAAAGGTCTGAGATGTAACTTGTTTAGTTTTTAACAAAGAGCCACACCAATGCAAATCTTAGCTGCAGGAGCACAAAATCACTTGGTACACAGAGTCAAAATTGAGAGATGGTTATGCTTAGTTGGGTATAGGAGCAAGATCCAAGCAAAATTTCAGTCCTTAATCCTGCAATGCATAGTCTGCATAGTAACCTCTGTTAATGGCTGCAAAGCATTTTTTAAAATACTTAATCTGCCTGGTTTAGACCACAAGAAAAGGTGCTTAAATGTGCTTTCTGGCTTTCCGAGTGCTGCAAATTAGTTTAAACACTAGATCCCTTTTTAAACTCCTTCACCATGATTCACTCCTAACAAAAAATAGTCAATCTCATCCCAAATTAAACCAAAGTTATTTTAGGGTGTTTTGTTTATTTAATTTAAAAAAAAAAAAAGAAAGGAAAAAAAAAAAGCAAGATGCAGTGGTAGATGGTACAAATGTCATGAAAAAGATACATCATTATGGAAATGAGAGGAATTAGACACAAGTCAGGAGTCTCTCCACCATTTGCCTTTCATGAAACCAGCCCGGGTTATAGTTAAGTTAATCAGTTTGTTAGTATTCTAATAACTGTAGAAAAAAGGAAGCTGTAGACGCATCAAGAGGAGGCGAACAAATGCTTCATGAATGAGCCCTGTGAGTCTGGAAAGCCTCTTTTGGTGAGGGACCATGAAAGCAGTTTGCTTTACTTTGGAAACTTACAGCACATAATCCGGATGTTCTCCAACTTCCAGTAAAAACTCACAACACTCTGTAACAGCCCACTGTAATGTCTGCTGTGCTTAATCTGTTTTTATTTAAATGTGAAAAAAGCTTTTTTTGTTTTGTAATATGCTGTCATAAAGTAGTAAAATAAAGAACTTATTGTTTTTCTTTTATTTTGTCGTCTTTGATTTTTCTTTTTTTTTTTTAAACTGTATCATGAGTCTGTAAGTTTACTTTCCTCTTGAATGGAAAATCTTTAAACTTAATTCTGAACATTTATCTCTAACATGGGCAGTAATTACATTTAAATACAAAGCAAAAAACTAAACACCCGCCTTTACCAGCATCACTGTCCATCGGCTGTATCCTGAGCTGCTGATGAGGAATTGTTTGCTCTTCTGGACTTTAAAACTTCATTCTTCAGGTCATACCACAGTATATCAATAAAAAGGTAAATTGGATGTAAATGTGTATTCACATATAGATATATAGAGAAAGATGGATATATTGGGATGTCATTCAGACTGCAGAAGTGTAGTCGAATGGTAACGAGAGGGCAGCATTAGACATTGAGGATGGCTACACGTACCTGGGAATCCCACAGGCAACTGGAAATCATGAATCTCCAAATACCTGTAAAGAGGAGGAGTCAGCTCCTTTGGCCAGCTTATCTGGTGATTGGATAAGCTGGCCAAAGGAGGAAATGGAAGGCACAGACATCAAGACAGGAAATGTACTGACCATGCATGGAGGGTTTCACCCCAAATCCAGCACCCTGTGACTGTACAGTAAGCGGAAAGAAGGAAGCCAGGGACTACTGAGTGTCAGAACCACTGTCCAGGATGAGACAACGAACATCCATGAATACATCAACCGTGTGCTTAGTGAATACCTCAGGCGACAGAAACCCAAGAAAGAAAAGCTCCAGGAAGAGAAACCATCATGGAAGGACAGGCCCCTGCACCTTACATCAAGAAATCCTACCAGTGGCTGGACTGAAAGACAGCACAGAGGCACTAATCATGGCAGTGGATGAACAAGCTCTGAGCATAAGATCCATAGAGGCTGGGGTTTATCACACCAGATGAGACCCCAGGTGCAGAGATGCCTCTCAAACAATCCACCCGCCAGGATAACGACCTTTCGCAAGGCAAGAGGGG